GCCCCAGAAAAAAAAGACCTACCCCGAGAATCAGACCTCCCCCGAGAAATAAGACCTCCCCCGAGGATCAGACCTCCCCCGAGAATCAGACCTAGTTTGGTGGTAGCATGTGAGGGGGGACTTGAAGAGCAGGAGAGATGGTATCCGCCTGCAGGGACATGTATTGGATGACAGGCGACTCCCTCCGGCCAGCGCAGTGACAGGGAGCACTCCAGTACCAGACTTCACCAACTGCTGTCCCCCTGAAGGCACTGCTTAATGTAATAGGTACTGTACTGTAATGTATACCGGTAAATAGTACCGTACTTTACCGCGCTGTCCACTGTCTGATGTCCCCACTGCTGCAGCGCTGTCCCTGATGGCAAAGGAAGCCGGCGCTGTAGAATGCAAGGCTGCGGCGGCGGAGGGAGCAGAGCCGCATTAGCCGATACTTCCGCTATAGCGCCGGTTACTGTGACAGGCGGAGTGACACCAGATAACTTTAGATTGTTGTACATTTTGTTGCACATAAAAAAACAAAATAAGACATCCCCTGAAAATAAGACCTAGTGTGGTTTTTTGGGGGGGAAAAAATAAAGGCAATGTCTTATTTTCGGGAAAACACGGCATCCGTCCTCCAAAAAAAACCAATATCCAACGCGTGCTTTGTAAGAAAAGTATATTACTGACGGGGGAGGAATGAGACGGCAAAAGTGTGTCAGTCATTTTACGAAACAGAAACGAAAAACTAGCTCAGTCATGAAGGGGTTAAAGTTATGACGAGCCGCTTGTAGATATTGCGAGACTCGGCGCTGTTGTGGTTGTATATTTGCCTCGGTCTTATTTTTAGGGTGCAGTGTTTCTCCGATATGCTCGCAGGCTGAATTGACTCATTGTATCGGCCCGGGTGTGTCTGTCTCATTACAACCTGGAGGTTCTGTTACGCAACGCTCCCACAATCCATGATGAGGGATTTTCGGCTGAATTGTTCTGGTTTCATTTCACCGGGACAGAGGCCACACACGGCATAAGCATGTTTTGGTCGTAGGGCAGGGGTGCCCATTAGGTAGATGGTGATCTAGCAGTAGCTCTGAAAGCTGATGTTGGTAGATCAGGAAGGGTGGGGATGGCGGCCCCTTTATTACATTTATTTATTTAGCAGTGCGCACATGATTACCTATTAGCCTGATTCTGCTGAGCCGAGCTCCCCGACACCTTTCTGGTGGATACTGGGGGTTGTAGTGCTGTTATGTATTACATCAGGGAATATTACTTTACACAGCAAAATACAGCAAGGAGAGACAGCCAGGAGGATGAGCAAGGAGAGACAGCCAGGAATGAGAGGAGAGCAAGCAAGGAGAGACAGCCAGGAATGAGAGGAAAGAGCCAGGGGAGAGAGAGCGAGGAGAGACAGCCAGGAGGATGAGCAAGGAGAGACAGCCAGGAATGAGAGGAGAGACAGCCAGGAGGATGAGCGAGAGGAGAGACAGCCAGGAATGAGGGGAAAGAGCGAGGAGAGACAGCCAGGGTACAGACTGAGGGAGTTTTTTTTTTTCATTGGTAGGTCTTGCGTAGCTCTTCATTTGAAAAGTAGGTCTTAACACAGGGGAAGCCAAACTCCGGCCCTCCAGCTGTGGTGAAACTACAAATCCCACGATGCATCTCTCTCCGGGAGTCGTGGCTGTGAGAATCTTGCAATGCCTCATGGGATTTGTAGTTCCACCACAGCTGGAGGGCTGGAGTTTGGCTACCCCTGTCTTAACACAAAGATTGTGGGCGCCCGTGTCGTCGGGTGACCGCTGTTCCTGGCCATATGTTTACACGGCAATAGGAGTCCTTATCTTATCTGCATCCCTTGCACAGTGGCTGCTGACATTGGGAGGAGATAATCACCTGCAGGCGTTTGTATGACTGATATCTGCTCACTAATCTATTTCCTGCTCTAGTGAAAGTATATTTGCTTGTGATGGCGCTCTGTACACTCGTATGACTATATATACACCTACAGGTTATCAGTGTCCTAGTGAAAGCGGCCTTGGTTTATGAGGTAGTTACGAGTCTCGGTATTTGTGCCTACATTGGATTCATACTCTGCACGTGTATAACGATACGATCTACAAGATGATTGGCTTTGCTGAAAGCATTGATTGGTTGGTATGAATCTCAGCATTTGTATGTTCATCGGCGTTCATACTTTGGCTATTTTTATGGCTGTAATGTGTACAAGATAACGGATATTTACTGCCGTGTAAAGGGGTGTGGACATTTAAAAAAAAACTACTTGTCCAAGGAGTAAAGTGGGGGCCCAATCTACCTGTCCCTCGGGGCAATCTACCTGTCCCTCGGGGCAATCTACCTGTCCCTCGGGGCAATCTACCTACTTGTCGTGATACAAAAAATTATCTTAACCAACACTGTATTTAACATTGCTAATTTGCAAGCGAAATTCAGAATACATGACACAGGGCAGCACTGGATGGCAGTATGGGGTACAGATAGTGCGCCATTGGG